ACACACACACACACACACACACACACACACACACACACACACACACACGCAGCATCACATAAACACATATAAAGTAATTACCTCAAACTCTGAGTCCCTGGTGTAAAATGAATGTGAAGGGTCTTACCCGCGTGCATGGAGCAGGTGCACTGAGATCCTGTCAAAGTCCCTGGTGCTCAGCCGTCCCTGCGGACCACGGCAGCATATTAGCACGGGTCTCCTCGCAGTCTTCTCCCTCTCCGGATTGGCTCTAGTATTCCCAGTCTGCGTGTCCCTCCGTACCCTCCTCCGCACTCCTCTTCTTCCTCTTGATGCAGCAGAGGCTCCAGTGAGTGAGTGAGTGTGTGGGTGAGTGTACGTGTGTGCGCTCTGCCCCTCTCAGAGTCCCCCTCAGCAGCAGCAGGAGCAGCAAGAGCAGCACACTGAGCCGACCGGTCGTGGGAGTTGCTCTCTTTTGCAGTCCGAGCCTGAAAACGCAGCACGGAGGACCTTTGCCAGTTTCTCAGCTGTATGCGGTATTGATGGAGTTGCTGAGGGGATGCTAACACAGCATGAATTCTCACCGTTCCCTGCTCTCCTCCACCCAACCCTCCTCTCTCTTTCCTAAACACACACACGCTCGCTCTCTCTCTCTCTCTCTCTCTCTCTCTGTGTGTGTGTGTGTGTGTGTGTGTGAGTGCGCGCGCGCCAGGCTTGCTTTTCTGTTCAGACCCTTTCAGCCTCGCCTTCAAATGTCAAAGACCTGACTTGCCAGCTAAACCTGATCAAAGACTTAACTACCCTCCCCAAAGCACTGCCCCAATGACTGCCCACCTATTACACTGGCTGCTCCCTGTAAATGCTGCTTCCATGAGCATCATCTGCTGTTAAAACTTACCAGTGTTTGGATTTATTGTAGTTACACTAACCACCAGGGAACATAAAATAAACACCGAAGGTGCACTTACTGTGTGTGTGTGTGTGTGTGTGTGTGTGTGTGTGTGTGCGCGAGCGCGCGTGTGTGTGAATGCTACACTTCTATCAGTGTGTGCAGCAGAGGAAGAAAGCCTAAAAGTGCAGTTGTTGCAGTAAATCCTGGGTTCAGTGAGGGGGTAGCATGGAAACGGATTACAAAGGTATAGCCTACTAAGTCTTATAGAAATGAGCTCTTGAGTTATTTCCATTCCTTATGCTCCCACTGTGGGAGAGATGGGTCAAGGTCATTCACCTGATAATCACACATTCATTTCTATGGAAATGATGATGACAGCAGTGACACGGGTGATGATCAGCATGCAGGACCAAAACCTTTATGGTGTTTTCAGAATGCTAATGCTTTCACTTTAAAAAACACAAAAACAAAACAAAACATATTATAAAAGAATAGAGATCATATTAGATCATTTCCACTCTCCACATGGACTAATTTGATGTTTGACAGCTGACAGGTGCACACGCACTGCTCTTGTTTGATGGAAAAAGCATATTTGAGTGAAAGCCAGGGTGGGGCGTGTGGATATGCACGACAAGATGAACTATCAGATTCGCCCAGTGTGCAGGGAAGGCCATCTGACATCACTGACACATCACTCAGTTTAATTGAATTGCCAGGGGTCACAGAGAGCTGCAGTATCTAAAAAGCCAGATCAAGAGAGCAGGGAGAAGTGAATGAATCATTCATGGCTTATAAAACAAATGCTCTGCCAAAATATTAATGCCAGTAGTTATCAGGGGTAGATTTAACCTGTTAATTAGATTTTAACCAATCAGTAAGTAAATGCTAATAACGTACATCGCCCAGCCAAAGAAACATCAGTGCCCTTTTTTGGTGAAATAAAACAAAACAGTTTACATCAGTTCTGACAAAAACAGTGAGCAACAGAGTACATTAAGCTCTAAAAGGAGCTGATGGCACCAAGCCCCCTCCCCATGAAATGAAATTCAACACAGAGGAGCTGCAGCTCAAGAATGCAACCCCTGCTCATTTACTCACTCCTGCACGGCAGTGAGCACTCAGACTCTGCTCACAACTAATGTGGGACATTTTCATTACCGACCCGAGTGCTGTTTACTTATTGTTTAGTGTGCTGATTTTAGGTTTCTTTAAGTTTCTTCATCTTTCAGTTCAGCTAATAAATTGGTATTATGTTGCTAGTAGGTTCCTTTCTGATGTTTTGAAACTTTATGACATACTTTTGTGCGCTTATTGCACACATCACTCAACATTATAACTAATGCATGAGTAATTCAACCAAAATGTTATTTTGACTAGCTACCATACCATTAAGTGAGGTTCCAATGGTGTGTATGTTCTACTAAATAAATTGTCCTCCAATGCTTTAACAAGAATAAAAACTACAGCAGTCATCTACTGTCTCGCATTGTTTTAATAAAATGTGTCGCACACAGTTGCTTCAGATTTTTTTCTTCTAAACAGAGATCACAGAAAAAAAAGTTTTATTTCCAGTTTGAAATCCAGTAAAAAAAACAACAAAAGGGCCCCAAAAACACTTCTGTGCTTCTCGGTAGAACTACTGTAATCTTTCACAGGCTGTCATGCTTTCATATAACGTACATGAACACGCAGATATTACACATATGGGAATATGCAAGTTATAAAACCTCCGTCTTTAGGTAGTGCTGTGTCTTTTGCTTCACCTGTGGGCTGTTTGGTACACTCGATGTCTGCTGGTCGTAGTCGCCCATGCACACAGCTACAAAGAACAAAGTCCCTCCGATGACCAGTGCCAGTCCTCCGAACCATCCGGAGAACATCGCCTCCCCATACTCCCATCGTGGCATCACATCAGGAAAACCCTCGTCCCAGAAGTCCACCACAGTTGTATAGGCCACAACAGACACAGGAGCCAGAGTAGTGAGCCCAGACACCCAGGACAGCACCCCACTAAAGATGAGGAGCCTTCTCTTCACACCAGGCGGCTCCATACACATCTCAACCCCCTCCAGACCCGGGAAAGCAGCCAGTACAGCTGAAGCACCAGTACCAATAGACACTGACATGAGCACCCTGGAGATCTGTAGGTCCAACGGCAGTCCCATGATGGAATCGTAGGCCTTACACTGAATTCCCACTTCCTCGGTGTAGAGGCAGGTGTGCCACAGCCCAGAGAACCAGTTCTCCACTTCATTGAGATCAGAGTTCATTGTTTTCCAATGTGGAAGGAAGGTGGTGATCAGAGATGTCACCAAGCCTCCAACCGTCACAAAGAGCGCGGTCCTTTGCATCATTTTAGCTGTTAGAAAAACCATCTTCTGCCTTTGTGCAGTGAAGTCTGTGCTGTGATTCTGTGTCCAAATCTAAGTAAAGTTAGGTAAGCCATCCAAGTGGCTCTGTAGCTCGTCCCACCTGCTGGACAGACCTGGACGGCCCACTTCTTACTTCTTTAAGAAAATGCACCTGATAAGTAGGAGAAAATCTCGTACCACATAACAACGGCCATACTGTTTGGTTTCAGTGTTCAATGTCATCCCAGCGAACAACGAACTCTGTATTTAAATGAAACCAGATATGAGCAGAGGGATTCTGGGCCGTGTGTTTGCACAAGTCAACTTGAATGAAACATGAGCAACCTGTGCATGAGGGGCACATAAAAAAGAAAGACATAAAAGTTACTGTTTCACGTGACTGTGAACTTCAGTACAACTTTAAACGTTTCAGCAAAATTAGGTGAGGTATGGTCTTTCGTTTTTGATTATATATTATTTGTTTAAGATATTTATTTTGATTTGCAAAATTTCTCAAGTACCTCTACTATGAATAGCACTTTGTGCTCACTGCAGCAATACAAAAGTCCAAAAGAGTCCAGCACTTTGGGAATTCCTCTGTGGGTTGTTACAGATCCTGCAGTACAACTGCCAGCTTGTAGAAAACCAATATAATGCCTCTGCATTTAGGACAAACATTTTGTCTTAGTCCCATGAACAAAATTTACTATAAACGTTCAGAAAATACTTTTCTTTTAGTTTTATTCATCTCATACTGGGATTATTAAGGGTGACCTCAGTACATACATAAGAACCTATAACACATCTCAAATTAATAATTAAAATTAAACCACTTAATTTAATTTAGATCACGTGAGTAAACCAAATTCGTTGCAGTGCAAAACCTTGCAGATTCAAAAGGAATTCATCCGCTCAAACCAGGGAGTGTTGTCTGAACTTATCATGCATGGATCTGTGGAAACTGAGACCCCTGACGGACATGCTAATTTAATGAAAGGTCAAGGTCTGACCTTCAGCTTTTTCACACTGTGTTTAAGATGCACTGGCTTTAGTTTGCAACAATAGTCTGAATTTTAGATTAGCACCAGTAAGGCCAACAAAAGTGTCTTTGAATATTTCACTTTAAACATCAGCTGTTTAAAATTAACAATTATACTGCTGGACTGGATGAGGACTGCTGCCCCACTTTAACCCCAAACACTAAAAACAGCAAAACAACCTGCCAGCTGATCCAGTCTAGTATGGTCCCTGCATAAAGCCAGTGAGGAAGGCCAATGCTGTAGTTTTAGGCAAAGCTGACGTAATGGAGTTATCGGCTCTTTGCACAGATGGCTGTAGGATTTAAAAGCCGTTTAAAAGTTAGGTTTGGGCTTGTGAGATTATAATATTATTTTATGCCATGTTAGACCCTTAATTAAAGATTGTGAATTATTATGTAGTCTTAGTTTGCATTATTTTCCTGAATTAGAAGAAGGTGATAACTATTGCATTTCTTAAACTGATTTGCATTACATTAGACTGCTGATTTATTGTGAATGAATGATATTGTTTTATGATGCATTATACTGCTGAGTTATAAGAAATACTGTTCGCAGAAAGTCATCGCCTTATTTGTCTGATTAGAAGAGAACAGAACATACTGGAGTTTTCTGCCCCATCTCAGCAGGAGCAGATAAACAGGGAGCCAAGGTCGTAGCTTAGGCGCTGAGTGAGAGAAAGCATGTGAATGTTCAGGCTTTTATGATTAGGTGGGGGCCACTAGAGGCTATAAGAGTTTGATCAATGCTCCGCCATTTTGCGATCTGATGCTGTCTGCGTACAGTGTCCATCTCCCACGCGTGTGCTCATTAAAATCATCGTTTGACTCAACCCGGCCGGACCAGTGTTGTTATTGTGTTTTTTCCTCTTGTATCCATCCCCAATATTTGAATCCGTAACAGGCTCAAGAATAAAGTCATCTGTTAGAGACTCTAACAGATGACTTTATTCTTTTTGTGTAGTGTTATCACGAATCTAGAGCCCAGAAGATTCGTGATAACACAACGTGACGATAGCTTCTAAAGAGAGGTTAAATCAATCAATTCTGTGGTTTCAGAAAAACTTCAGTTTTTTGACACATTCCTTTGTGTTTATTGATTAACTGACAAAATGGTTGCGCACAAACTTCAATCACGTTGGTATACTGGTGAATCAGAGCACAGGCACAGAACACATGACTCATTCTGTAAGAGATTTATTAAGGCTTCAAGTGCATGATAACAGAATAATATCACTAAATACTAAGTTCAGTATTGTAGGATACACAGATTTTGTTAATGGTAAGAATTATCACAAAGACATGTGCCAGCAACAGTACTTAACACAGAGATATATTATAATTATTTTCATATGATTTGGATTCTTTACCACAAAAGACATATGTAAATAATACAAACTTAAATGAATAGAGATTTAGATAAATAACCCATTTGACTTTAATAGATGTGATG